GCGGGGGACTGCGGAATGATTCAAACTCCACGCCTCTCCTCCAGGAGCTCCCAAGCGAACAGGGGAGATAAAAGGCAGGCACAAAAAGTAACTATAAAATAAGGCAGACAGCGATAAGAGCCACACAAGAGACATTAAAGTGCAGGGACACTTCTGAGCAGAGACAGTCTCGCTGGGGGCCTGGGTGCTAGTTCAGGTCCAGAAGAAGGACAGGGCCCTATCCCCTCAGCTCCAGTGACTCCCAGGAGGGGGTGACAGCCAGTACTGGACCAAGAAAGATGCTCAAACGAGGTCTCCTTTGAAGAATCCCAATCCTGGAGAGAGGGCGGTGGGCAAGCCTGAGACTTTGCAGAAGTGCCCCAGCCCCTATGTCAGAGGTAGGGAGAGGAGTGTAGGATGAAGAATCTAGAATTTCCATATAGGGGCAGCAGGTCCACTGAAAGGCGACAGAGCTAGAGGACTTGCCTTGAAATGACATTTGCGTAGCAAGCACATTGTTAACTTAGAATGTCGATTTGGGGTTTCTTGGGGGGGTATTTGCACCTTATCGGGGAGGAGCAAGTGGCCCCCTCTCCCCCAACCAGCCATCAGCTCTGCCCCTGATGAGAAAGGATGAGGGGGCCACTCCAAGAGAGCTGGCACCTCAGGTTACAGCGGGAGAGGGAGACTCTCCGGATGGAGATGGGCCAGATCTTCCTCCAGCCAGAGGGGCACCTGGAGCACCTTCTTCTAAGTTCTGGCCCCTCTCGGAGGGCCACACCCCATGCTTAGGCCCCAGACAACCCACCCAGCCCCTGCCAGGGTTGGAGGGATGTCCAGCTGCAGGCGGGGAACAGCGGAAGGCTGGACAGAGGGCTGTGCCCACCCCTTCCTCCCGGCCCCCTCCTGGCCCTTCCCTCAAGAGCGCGGGCCGGACCGGACAGGCCCAACACTGCACACACACCTGCCCCTTGACCGCGGTGACACTTGTCACTGGGGGAGGGGAGTCCACCGCGCCCCGGCCGCAACCGACGGAAATTCGGAAATTAGCATTTGGGCCCCCCCCCCCCCGACTCCGGAGGGCCGGCGAGTCCCCGGGGGCCGGGCTCCGGGTCGAATTCCTGAGGCAGGGGTCCCCGCGCGCGCCACACCCTCCTCCCCGCGCGGGGCGGCCGGGCCCGGGTCTCCCACTTTCCCC